TCAAGAATATGATCCAATGAATTATCAAAATTTGATCAAAAGTGCCCGAATACTCATAACGGTACGGACTGACCCATGTAAAATCTATAATTGTCTTTATCAGGAGTCAAATGTGTAATCGATTAGAATGCACCAATAATAATTTGTTTAAGCCACTGCAAAGTTCCTTTAAATTGGATGAAAAGATTACTGTATTATACAAACAATAAGAATTCCCACAATGTTTTACATCTTTATGTTGAACGGTGGCTAAATCATATAATATACACGCTTATATACACGCTTTTGATTTCATAAAGAAATATTTAGTCAACCGTAAAACAGAAAGTAGAATTATGTGCCTTAGCATGAATTAAATGGAATTAAATAGTGAAGTGAATCCGTATAACCTCATCGACATAATTATTTCATTACATGACTAACAACGGCTATAATAAAATACTATAGCTCGAAAACATTATGTTAATTACAAGATGGTTTTATTATTTGACAAAGTGAGTTAATTGTAGTTACAAAATTAATTTTGACAATTTATGTCATGATGTAATTAATTTTGACAATTTATGTCATGATGTAATTCATTTACAATACATTTCACTTCATTAACAAGTTTTTCTATTTCATTATCACATTCTAACCTTAATTTTTCTTCTATATTGTCTGTTTGACACATTTTTTTAATAACCTTATGTAATGCTTCGCTAGTTATAGTTACTTGTAAATCATTTTTTTCATCTTCATATACCTCGGAAATTGATACTTTAATTTTACCATTTGAAAATTTATCTTTGCATTTAATAAACATACGCTTAATCTTGACACGCCTAATTGCAAAGAGGTAATTAGAGGTATCTTCTAAAGTGATCATTTTTGTGTCGAAATTGTAATTAGCATTAATTATAGAATTATAAAGTTCGATAGGTAAAGTTGTTATTGAAGGTTCTTGAGAAAGAACTTTGAGCCGAAAATCCAGGGTATGGATTAAAAGAAATATTATTATGAATAATAGCTTCTTTTTTTAAACTATTAGATTCTAGTTTCATAAAAATCTTTCCGGGTTGATCGTGATAGAAATAAAAGTGGCGATATGCATGTATACCATCAATTTTTGTGAAATATGGTTCTAAAAAACTTTCAAAATCATAATAATTCCATCCTTCACCATCATATCTAACTGCTACATTACTTTCATCTTTTTTTGATTGATTTACAATAGCTTCGACATGATTTATACTCATAATATTAGATTTACGATAACGCGATTTAATCATTCCAAAATATGAATCACAAATAAATTTAGTATGATCAGAGACCATAAAATTTAGTTCAATTGTATCAAACCGCTTAATAATAGTAAGCCATGAGTAGAATCAAAGCATGAGATTATTTTTATTTTGCCCCTCGCAGTTATCACATGTAACTTTTAAGTGTTTTTGTAATAGATTCCAATGAAATAAACTATTATATACAAGATTTAGAGTTGTATTGGTACCTTTAGGTGTTTTTTTTTGGAAGCTGATATTCACCAATAAGATAATTTCTTTGCGTTTCTAAACCAGTACTAGAAACTCCAAATATATGAATGTTGAATAGTGATTTAAAAAATAATCCTCCAGGTTGCATGGCAAATAAGGAATTTGTACATTTTGGGCCCAGTCGTAGCAAATATGTACAATTTCCGATTTTAATTGTTTACTCATACTAATATTATTATTATAGTATTGGCATTCAATCATTGCAGTTAAATGGTGAAGATCATATTCAGCTTGAAGTTTTTTTTTATTTTTTATATTATTAGTAACCTGGATTTCAACATGAAGTTGTTCACATTTATCACAAAGGTCTGACGCTTTGGCCATTAATCGAACATCAGGTGCGATTTCCTTCCAGATATTAAGAAATATATTATATGATATAATTTTAAAGTTTTTGTCTTTTATTAATTCAACGAAATTTATATATTCTTCATAGACATTATTATACGTTGTTCCTGTTGGAAGTGAAATAGTTGGCATAGCATTTTGCCGCATATGTCGACCTGGTGAAGGAAATCTATGAGTGTTAGCATAGTTATGAATGAAATTATTAACTTCTTGTATAATTTCTTCATTTATAGTTGCACGATCAGATCAAATAAAAGTATGTCCTCTATTTCCATGAATATTTTCAACAATTCCTTCATTCTTAATACGGGATTTGATTCGATGAAGTCGAGCTAAAGAAATTCCTATTAATACTGTATATATAGATATACATACAAGATGTTGAGCATCGTAACGATACTGATAAGTAATACGACTATGTGATTCTTGATTAGTTTTTTTTTATTTTTTGTATATTCACTAAATGCAAATGATGCAAGTTGTCCGTTGATCCAACTATCCAAGCTATTATATGACATTTTGTGACATTCTTCTTGTCTCTTAAAAATTGATAAAACCCGATCTTTTCAAAACAATTTTTATTTTTATTTTTATTTTTTCTACAGGTACATTCTTTTTTTTGCCAA